ATTGTGTTTTCATCCAGTCCTTCCTGTCTCCCCCCCTGCGTCTGGGGAGTCTGCGGAGGCGGAGGGAGGAGGAGGAGGAGGACGAGGAGTGAGGAGGAGGAGGAAGAGGAGGAGGAGGAGGAGCTGGGGGAGAACGACGACGACTACGACGGCGACGACGACGGCGACGTCGACGTCGACGTCGACGGCGACGACGACGACGACGACGGCGGCGGCGACCACGACGACGACGACAATTTTCATTGATTTCCAGTTGTTTTTTCTTTCTCTCCTTGGTTTCCTCCTAAGTAGTCCTCCACAAAGGAAATCAAACTGTAAGCCGCTACAAAAGAAATCAATTCGTAATCGGCTACAGAAGGAAACTTTTTGTTTCGCCACAAAGGGAATTAGTTTGTATTCCGCCACACAAGAAATCTACTGGTAATCCGTCACACAAGGAATCCGTTGGTGAGATAGTACTAATGGTATGGAGCACGACACGAGAGCGCTGTGCCTGCGAGAGTTTGTGAACGTTGTAAGGGACAAGGGGAACATACGTATCTTTCGTTGAGTTGGGAAAGACCAGGGCAGGGAAACATTGGAGTTCCAAATGCTTGTCGAAGATCGCTGTTTTGGCGCGTATTCATTTTGGTATAACGTGTGCGGGTTTCGCGAATGCTAACGCTTACCGCTGCCCGCGAGGGCTTTTTGAGGTTATGAAAAGGGGAAGTTATGTGTATTTTTTGCCAATTTGGGGTAGGCTGGAGCACTCCAACATGGGGTCCCTGGGCTGCTTGGCGCAGTTCACCGTTGTCGTATGTGTACATTTCAATACTACGCTCAGCATTTTTCGAAGGCATGAGTTTCCTAAGATTCAAGAAGGCTGCATGCTTGTCGAAGATCGCTGTTTTGGCGCGTATTCATTTTGGTATAACGTGTGTGGGTTTCGCGAATGCTAACGCTTACCGCTGCCCGCGAGGGGCCGGAGCACTCAAACATGGGATCCCTGGGACGCTTGGCGCAGTTCACCGTTGTCGCATATGTACATGTCAATACCACGTTCAGCATTTTTCGAAGGCATTAGTTTCCTAAGATTCAAGAAGGCTGCCTTTCGGGTGCCTTTCGGGTGCCTTTCGGGTGCCTTTCGGGTGCGTTACGGGTGTTTTGACAACGACATCCTTCGGCCGCTTGGAGCAAATCATTGTTTTCGTATACGCACGTTTCAATAGCAAATGCATCACTTTTCGAGGATACATTTGTTCTTGAATTTCGGTGTGGGCGATTTGCGGGTGCCTTTCGGGTGCTTTGCGGGTGCCTTAGGGGTGCTTTTCGGTTGCTTTACGGGTGCTTTGACAACGACATCCTTCGGCCGTTTGGAGCAAATCATTGTTTTCGTATTCGCACGTTTCAATGGGAAATGCACACTTTTCGAGGATATATTTTTCCTTGCATTTTGGTGTGGGCGATTTGCGGGTGCCTTTCGGGTGCTTTGCGGGTGCCTTAGGGGTGCCTTCCGGATGCTTTACGGATGCCTTGGGGTGCCTTTCGTGTGTTGTTGTTCTCTTCTGTCCTTTTGCCATAGTTTGTCCTTTTGTCCCTTTTGTCTCTGTTGTCCCCTTCGTCCCCTTTTGTTTCCTTGTGTCCCCTTTGTCCCCTTTATCATTTGATGTCTCTTTTGTCCCCTTGTTGGGTTCCTTTGTCATATTTTGTCCCGTTTGTCCCTTTTGTCACCTTTTGTGCCCTTTGTCCCCTTCTGTCCCCTTGTGTTCCATTGTCCCCTTTTGTCCCTCTTGTCTCCCTTGTCCCTTTTGTATCCTTTTTGACTCCGTTTGTCCCCTTTGTCTTCTTTTGTCGCGCTTGTCTCTTTTGTTCCCTTTTGTCCCCTTGTGTCCCCGTTGTCCCCTTTTGTTCCTCTTGTCCCGTTTGTCCCCTTTTGTCCCCTTTGTCCCCTTTATCCCTTTTGTCCCCTTTGTCCCCTTTGTCCCCTTTGCCCCCTTTTTGTCCCCTTTGTCCCTCGAGATGCTTATTGGATATCTCCCAAGGCGTAAGAAAACACAAACAGAGAAACACCAGGGAGACACCAGGAACATACCATGAGTTCAGCGTCCTCCGAGGCCCAGGGGGAACACCAGAAGGAGCAGGAGGAGGAGCATGAGGATCAGTACGATGGGGGAGGGGGAGGATGGGAGAGAGAATGACCAAGCGGACTTCTGTTTTGGTCCCCTTTGCCTTTCAGAATGCTTGTTGGAGATCGCCCAGGGCTGGAGAAAACAATGAAAAAAGGGAGACGCGAGGTAGACACCAGAGAAATATATCGTGAATTCAGCGTCCTCCGAGGCCCAGAGGAGCACCAGAAGGAGCAGGATGAGGAGCAGGAGGATCAATAGGAGGGGGAGGGGGAGGATGGGAGAGAAAAGGATGAGGCGGAAGAGGAGGAGACACAGCGTCCTCCGAGCGCTCTGGGGAGCCCTTTCCGAGTGACATGCGGATTGCCTTTCGACCGCTCCCGGGGTGCTCATCGGGTGCCTTGGGGGTGCCTTCGGGGGTGCCTTTCTGGTGCCCTCGGGGTGCTCATCGGGTGCCTTTCGGGAGCCCTCGGGGTGCCCACCGAGGACAGTTAATAAGCAGCTCAGGGTACTCGGAGGACGTTGAACGCACGATATCTCTCGGTGTCCTTGGTGCCTCCCTGGTCCCCTATTCGCAATGTTTGTTCTTGGTTTTTAGAACCTGGAAGACCTCCCGTAAGCACCCCGAGAGCACCCGAAAGGCACCCGAAACGTACCCGAAAATATCGTAATGTGTCTTGGGCAGCTTTCTCTTATCATCGTTGCAAGCATATTTGTTCGAAGTTGCTTTCGCAAGTTTCTTGGAATTCTGCCGCGTAATTCCACTGTTTGGGTATACATTTAGTTCTGGATAAAAGTACAATTCAGGACAAACACCACACATCCTGCATATACATATTCAGCAACACCATCTGGCCAACATAGCGTGTTCAATTATAGTCTCAGGATTTGCCCTCCCCGTCCGATTGCGCTGCCGCGGATGCTGCTTATGCCATTAGCGGCGTTGTGGTGGGGGGGCAAGCTGCGACCGTGGAGTCGGCGAGGTTGCGAACAGATGTGTTCGAAGCTGCTTCTTTCGATTTCGTTCGCATTGGTTATATCCGTAGTCGTTTGGGCTCAAAATGTGGTTTGAACAGGCATACTGGCGTGGACTCAGGAACCCAGCAACGGAACCAAGCAAAGGGAACCAGCAAGGAACCCAACAAAGAAACCAACCAAAGGGAACCAGCAAGGGAGCCCAGCAACAGTGTGGTGTATCATGTATTGTTGTATTCTTCACATATTGTTTACTACTAAACACCTTGCCGCCATGTGGTCTCAAGCGCGGTTGACGCACTCCCCAGTCGTCCCTCGATTCTCAAGAGTGCTCTCATCTCCACAGCAACAGACACCACACGCGATTCGCTCGCGATGGCTGTTCTTTGTTTAGGTTTTGATCGGTCACATTCGCCGCGATATTCGTATGATTCAGAACCGATGTCTTCCGTCGAATCTTTCGCTAGATCTGATGATCTAAGATCGGTGTTCTCGATGTGATTGTTGAGTCGATTCGAAATTGACAACTGATCGAAGAATTTGTAGTCGTATGCTAATTTCCTAGATCGCGCTGCCGATTGGTAGATTGGCCTGTTCGGGCGAGATGTTACAATTAAGGTGCTTCATGAATCGGTCTTTGTTCCCGATTCCGAGGGTGTCCTTCGTATTCAACAGGGTCTCACATTGCACCGTCGCAATGGATTTCTTGAGACTCTTGACGATGAAATGGACAACCACTGGGCGAAGGAGACGAACAGCTGCGATTGCCTTAGCGTAATCAGATTTGATGCGCTTTGTTTGCTTCAGTTGGGTCCGATTTGGTATTGATTCCGATGCGATTTGTGTTCGTGTTCGCGAAAGCCGCAAGGTTCATGATCAGACTTAGGTTGCTTTTTTATTCAATGTTTCTCGTCCGCTCAGGTGCCGGCCGCATCGAGGGCAACCTTGAGTCGGACGTCGGCCGCATGGCCGACCTCGACGATGAGTTTGTGTTCGCTGCGGATGGCGAGGGGGTCTTCGAGGAACGCGATAATGACTTGGAGTTCTATGAACGGGTCGGCCGGCTGAGTTCAACGGCTTGCCCCGATCCCGCATCCATCGGCCCTTCGAGTTCGCAGACGGAAGCTGAGAGCAGAAACTCGTCCCAGGAGGAATCGGGAGAAGTGTCCAAAGACAAGGGGACCCTGGTTTGCGTGGACAGTTGGGGCACTTCATATCACATTGGGGACACTGCGTATTACACTGTGAAGGGCGGAGACAGTGCTTACGGCATGATCGGTAAGATCGCAGGCCCCAGTGTGTTCTTCGGGAACGACTCGGTACTCGTCAAGTTCAAAAAAGCATAGGCCTTAAATTCTCTCCGGCACGACATTTCATATATTTTTTTTGATCGGGGAAGATAGGTCATTGCGATGATTGCGTCGATGTTTGATTTTTTGTTGTAGATGTGATATTTGTTTGATCGGGGGACCCATCATTGCGATGGTTGCATTTATTTGCGCGCGGGTCTACCAAGGATAACTATCATTGCAGGACATCGGAGATTCATCATTCCAACCCGTCAGCATGTCAGAAAACGAGGCGGCTTGCCAGACTTTCCATTGGGCTGAATAGAGAATCTGCGTCGACAGAGAGTCCAGCGGTGACTCCAGCGGCGCCAGCGAACGACGACGTCGCGCAGACCAGCGCGAAGCAGGACGACAAGGATAACATCAACGACCTTCCTGGGACGATCCCCAAGTTGACCAGAGGTCGAGCCTGCGGTTACAGACAACAGCGGAGCCGTCTTGCCAAGCGGCTCTGGAAGATCTGCCGCAGGACGGAACAAGAAAACATACTTAACATCATATTGCTTTTGATTCGAATCAACACTGAAAGTTGTTTTGAACATCCCTCGGGAAAGCCAGTCGCGAGTTGGAGGCCGCTAAGAAAGCCGAGCGCGAGTCGGAGGCCGCCGGGAAAGCCGAGGTCGAGTCGGAGGCCGCGTGCTTCTCAATCGGATTGTTGTTGGCCACAGAGGTGATCTACCGAACATGTAAGACAATCGTGATCTACTGCAGCGACCAGGACATTGCCGAGAGCGCAGACGACTGCGGGGTATGTGAGAACACCGTCGGAACTGTTTCCGCCAGGATGTTTTTAGACGGTGCGGAGCCGCTCGAGCTTCCCTGCGCGGTGCCTCGGCCCAAGAAGACCGCCTTCGCGAACGTCTCCATCGGCGCTAGAATGTTCGTAATTGCTTTGCTCGGCACAGCGCTAGACTTTGCCCGTGAGAAGATGTGCAAAGATATCCGCCGCTATCCCGAACAACTCGACACGGAATTCGACGCTTGGTCGGACGATAGCAGTCAGGAGCAAGACTCTGAGTCTGGCAGCGTCGACTTGTTCGACGATGTCCTCGAATACGAAGAGGACGCCCGGGGCGGTGCCCTCGGCGAGGGCAATGGCTTTGAGAATTGCGCCCTGGCTTCGGTCGACGACCGCACTCGTGCGTGCTCTCGTGCAAGCTCTGCCCGAAACGATACTTCGAGTGGAAGAACTGGCTGGTCGAGCACTTGAAGCAGCACCACCAGAAGCGGGCGTCTTTCGTCCCATACAAAAGCAACAAGATGTTCCGCATTGCGAAGGCCATCCATGACAGTGACCAGATGCGCGGTATTTCAGGCGCCAAATATCTGCAGAGGGCAGCGGCTCTGGTGCGCAGGCAGGCGAGCACGGGGCTGTCCAAGAGGGCCCACACGCACCTGGACGAGCACATGGTGCTCGTGTTGGAAGAAGGCGGGCCGAGGTACTACCTGCAATCGGAGCTGTGCCAGATGTCCGTTCGCCGCGTCGGCGACTGCTACTCGACGCGGGAGTTCTACAATCGGCTTCATAGAGATGAATTGTTGTCCGATGGCCGCGTCGAGCGAGTCGCGAATGCTGCTTTCCAGCGGTCGGAGTTGGATGGGGGCCAGTATTACTTCGCTGATGACAAGTCAGCAGACTGCGTGGCAGAATATGATGGCCGATGTGTTCCGGGCTCCAAGGGCGCGAGAGCGCCTCGCCGGCCTGCTGGCGGAGTGCGAGGATGACGGTGAGCTCCAGTGGGTGTCCATCGACGGCGCTGCTAAACCCGCATTTACTCTGGTCGGACAAGCTTCCTGCAGGGCGCCGCGGTGGGTTCGAGAAGATCAGGCCGTCCCCATTGATGATCAACTTCATGTAGTTTTGACGATGCGGGTCCGGTCGGGCGCTGTGCTGTTGGCGACGCCTGTTCAGACTGAGAATGCCGAAAACGTATGCAGTGCTCTTTCATCGGCATTCTCGGCATCGCAGCTGGCACTAATCCAGTGCCTTGTCACGGACGATCCGTCGGCGAAGCTGCTCGACGGGCTTCAAGATGTCTGTGGCGACCTCAAGGCAATCGCCCTGGACTGCTGCCATCTGGCCATGGTCTACGAGCAGGCCAACTGGGAAAAGAAGAGTCCAGGGAGCATTGACATTCGCAGAATCGTTGCGGAGCTGGAGGCAAAGTGCGGCGCTGGACCTCGCGGGGGACTCTTCGACGGCACGAGCGCCGCCGCGTCCACGCGGGGCGAGAAGATTGCCCGCGGTGGCATCGGGCGCAAAAGACTCGCTGTCAGGAAAGCAAAGCGGGTCCTGGGCGTCATCGACGTGAGCAAGCCCTTCCAGACTCGCACCGAAGTTTTGCGATGCAGAGAGGCCGCTGCCCGCGTGCACCACAGGGAGATGAAGAAGACGCTGCCTTCAGGCAAGACGAGGTTGCAGATGCTCAAGTGCGCAGCCCAACCAGAGAGGCTGGAGTGGATGCTGAATGCGGCCCGGGTTAGTTCCAGGATGACGCGGGAAGAGCGCGTCCTATTGCCCGCAGGTTTCTGGGGTCCTTTGGAAGCGTCGTTGTTTGTTCCGCAATTCGGGGCACTGTCGAGATGCGAAGTATGGTTCGTCAACTTTGCATCGCGACGCAAGCCTCGAAACCAGGGTCCGCAGACAACGACGGTTTCAACGGCGGCCGCGCCACAGGCGCCACGTCGAACGAGTCCTTGCACATGGAGCTCAAGCGGTGTCTTTTCGGCCAGAGCATGAACCCATGCATGCTTGCCCTAAAGCTCGCCGTCATCCGCGCCGCCAAGCTGATGACGCATAATTCGGCTCTGTGCCGCCAGACGCTGGCGCAGGGGCCGCAGAGCCGCTTGCTTCGTCGCCTGGTGGGGGCGATGGGACTGTTCAGCCTGGCAAGCTGGGGGCGCTGGTGCGCCCCTCTTTGCGCTGGCGGCGCCGTGCGGAAGGCTCCCTCTCCCTTTGCCGCCGAGAGGAAAGCGCTTCAGGCGCGGGCGTCTCAGTGGCGCGCAGCGAAAGGCGCTGGTGGGCGCCGCCGCGGCTGAGGTAGCCGGAAACGCATTTTGTTTTCTCTCCATAAGCGCTCCGCCGCTAACTTGTAACTGTGTTCGTGCTGGACCGAGAAACGCAAAGAGAGAACGCGTTAGCGGTTGACGAAGGCAGGGTTGAAGTCTGAGCGAAGTTGGTGGAATTGGTGGAGCTGGCGGTGAGGGTCTGGGCGGTGGGCCTGGGGAGTTGGTGGAGTTGGTGGAGATGGTACAGATGGTGGAGTTGGTGGAGTCGGTCGGGTTGGTGGAGCTGGTGGAAACCGTGAAGACTCACTCCGCCATTTCCACCGACACCACCAACTCTTCAGGGCCAAGTTCACCACCTTTGATCAATTCCGCCAGCTCCTGGATTTGGTGGAGTTGGTGGAGTTGGTGGAGTTGGTGGAGTTCGTGGAGTTGGTGGAGCTGGTGGATTTGGTGGATTTGGTGTGGTTGGTGGAGTTGGTGGAGTTGGTGGAGTTGGTAGAGTTGGTGGAGTTGGAGGAATTGGTGGAGTTCGTGGAGTTCGTGGAGCTGGTGGATTTGGTTGAGTTGGTGGAGTTGGTGGGGTTGGTGGCGTCAGACTCCACAGGCTGGTCTCGCTCCACACGCTGCACCAAATCCACTAACTCCGCCAGCTCCACCAGCTCCACCAACTCCACCAACTCCACCAGCTTCACCAGCTCCACCAGCTCCACCAGCTCCACCAGCTTCACCAGCTCCACCAGCTCCACCAGCTCCACCAACTCCACCAACTCCACCAACTCCACCAACTCCACGAAATCCACCAACTCCACCAGCTCCACCAACTTCACGAACTCCACCAACCCCACCAATCCCACCAACTCCACCAACTCCACGAACTCCACCAACTCCACGGACTCCACCAATTTCGCCAACTCCACCAGCTCCACCAGCTTCACCAGATCCACCAACTCCACCAACTCCACGAACTCCCCCAATTTCACCAACTCCACCAGCTCCACCAGCTCCGCCAGCTTCACCAACTCCACCCACTCCACCAACTTCACCAACTCCAACTCCACCAGCTCCTGGAGTTGGTGGAGTTGGTAGAGTTGGTGGGTCTGGTGAAATTGGTGGAGCTGGTGGAGTTGGTGGAGTTGGTGGAGTTGGTGGAGTTGGTCGGCCCCGCCTCCAATCGAGCACATCCACAAACACGCCAAGCCGATAACGCAAGCGAAACCATCACTATAGGTAGTATCTACCCTCTCACAGATGGGTTTGTCTGCATACATACAGCGTACCTATTTATGTGTACATGTGTGTATGCATGTTTGCATGTATGCATGCTTGTATGTATATGTATATGTATGCATGCATGTATGTATGTGCGTACGTATGTATACATGTATGCATACATCTATAGAAATATGCGTGTGTATGCATGTACGTATGTATGTATGTAGTCATGCATGCATGCATGCATGTATGAACGTGCGCATGTATGCATACATGTATGCATGCATGCATGTAGGCATCTGCGTGTGCGTATGTATGTATGAGTGCATGCATGTGTACACATATATATATATATATGTGTACGTTTGTTTGTTGGTAGGTCTGTAAGTATGCATGTAGACATATGTGCGGGTGCATGTATATATGAGTGCACGCATGCATGTAGTCATGTTTGTTGTTTTGCATGTACGCATATATGTACGCATGTCTGCATGTGTGCATGTGTGCATATTTGTACTGTAGGTATGGATGTTTATATGTATGTAACTACGGATATATACACGCATGCATGTACACACGTATGTATGTATGCATGTATACATGCATGCATTTATGTATGTATGTGAGTAGGCTTGCATGCATATGTGTATGCATGCATGCACACACGCACGCACGCACGCACGGTACGCACGTATGTATGCATGTATATATGTTTGTGTGTACTATTCCATTCAGGTATGCATATACGTAGGTATGCATTCATGCATGCATGTCTGTATGGTTGTGTTCACGGAGGCAGATCTTCATGACTGTATGCATGTGTATACATATAAATACATATGTATATAGATATAATTGTATATAATTACATGTATGTGTGTCCGTATGCGCGTATGTGTGTATGCATGTATACATGCATGTAGGTATGTATGTATAGCTTGGTCTATGTATGTATGTAGGTTTGTTTATTCGCATGTGTCCATGTATGCATGTATGCAGATATGCATGTATACGTGTATGCATGCATACTTGTATGTATGAAGGTAGGTACGCATGTATATGTTATACAGACGTGATCTTCCGCCACGGGGCCAGCGGTACGTTGGAGCGTGTAATAATGCCTGTTCGTTCTTTGGTCGGGTTGCTGTAATCTTGACAGGACTGGCCCCCGCCCCTCTTAACAGCCGTGCTCCGACAACTGCCTCCTGCTATTACTCTCAGGCGGTTCCACGACAGCCAGGGACCGCTCCAAAAGGGCTGCAAGGTGCTCCCAGACCATCCATAATAGCTCAACCAGCCCTGGAAGGCGCCAGCATGTCTGCAAACTGCCCCCAAGATGCCTAACTAAGCCTCCAAAAGACGCCCAGAGAGACTCCAGTGAGGAACACTCATGTGTGTTTTTGATTCCGAGCCGCGTATCCTTTAGATCGCTTCTGGAAGGCCTCAGAGCCCCCCGAGGGTGAACCGACCCAAGCGAAGTGCGTGTGTTGCGACGAACGTTTGCCTTTTTGGATCAATCGGGCGCTTCCGGGGGGCTCTTGGGCGATCGTGGGCCATTTGGGCGGCCTTCGTGGCCACAAGCAGCAGCAGCATAATAGGGGAGGAGGAGGAGGAGGAGGAGGAGGAGGAGGAGGAGGAGGAGGAGGAGGAGGGGGAGGGGGAGGGGGAGGGGGAGGGGGATTGGGAGGAGGAGGAGGAGGAGGAGAAGGAGGAGGAAAAGGAAGGAAGGAAGGAAGGAAGAGGAAGGAGGATCAGCACGGCTGCCAGTTAGGGCACGGGCGTGTCTCCATCACCTTTGAGGGCACTGCTTGTGGAATGGGAGCCCCCGGCCTCGTGACCAGAAAGCGATGGAGACGGGCACACGGGGCGTGGAGGTGCAGGAAGAAGGACAGAGCTCGAAGAGACCCCGCGCGGAGGGCGTTGGCTGCGCGTACGTGAAGCCGACTGGGCCGACCACGACCCTGCCGGCAGCACCCCGCCCACTCCTTGTGCCTCGGCCCCCTGCGGTGAGGGGCATTTTCTGCAGAGGGGCTACGCCGCCAATACCTGCGGCGATTCGAGCGTCCAGGATCGAGGATCGAGAATCGAGACTCGAAGTTCCTTGCCATTCTCGGCCTCTGCGGGCTCGTCTCGGGCCCTAGGGCTGTTGGAAATCGACCCAGGTTGAAAAACCGGCCATGATGGAATCAGGGAAGGCCGGGGAAACGATCTCGGATGGACTCTGGCCGTTCGGCGTCGTTCGAGGATCGGGGTTTTGGGATCGAGATTTTTGGGTGGTTTTGGGGCTTGCTGGCTTGTGGTGGCACCCTCGTGGCCATGGCTGACTTCCCTGCGAAATTCTTGTCAAAACGCATCCCAGAAGATCTCTGGGGAAGTGATGTTCCAACCTACTTTCGCCTTGCTCGCCAGAGAGAATTTCGAGCACCAGGAAAGTACCGAAACTGGAGGGTCTTCACGTGTGGGGCCCTGGGAGGCGATAGTACTTCGACACTTCGCCAGCGTGTCGGGCAGGCACTGTTTCAATACCTCTCGGGGTGCTCGAACTTACTTCTGGGATGTGGTCCGTAAGCGCGATGGGAAGAGCACAGGTCTGGGGGCCGTCTTTGGAGAGGAAGGCCCAGACCTGGTGTGGTTCGAAGAATCGGGGTGGCCGAGTTCTCAAATCTGGGCGTCCGGGGGCCGCGCTCGGCCCCCTGCCGTGCGTGGGCCCCCCTCGCCGAGGGGCGTGTTGCCGTGAGGTGGTGCTTCCAAGAGCTCGGCGACTCCGAACGGGGACCGCAGTTTGTTTCTTCAGCTTGAGCCTGTGGGGCTGAGACGTGTGTGTGTGTGTGCGTGTGTGTGCGTGTGTGTGCGTGTGTGTGTGTGTGTGTGCGTGTGTGTGTGTGTGTGTGTATGTGTGTGTGTGTGTGTGTGTGTGCGTGTGCGTGCCCTCTTCCAAGATAGAAAACTCGAAGCACTGCTTCACAGGTTCGGGGAGGGGGGAGGGGTCACTCTCAGTGGCACCGTTTCAGAGCCCGTTCGATCACTCGATGGCCTATCCGTTGTGTTTTCAATAACCACTGTTTGTTTGCTTCGCACTATCGCTGTTTTTGTTGCTTCTGTTCTTGACTTGACTTTTCGACCCGTTCGCAAACACGCTCACGCGTAGAGTACCGAAGTTAGTATTACCATCCTGCTAGTGCCGCCGTCATCGTACTACTATCGGGTGCCTTACCGTTACTGTCATTGCCCACGCGATCGGCATCGGTGTCATCATCAGCGCTCCAGGGTGCTTTGCTACGATTTCTGGATACTTTTCATGCTTCCCCTCGGAGCCAGAGGCTGCCAGCCCCGCGCGTGAAGTGCTTCGTGCTCTGAGTGTGTCTTCCCCTTTCGTATGTCGCTGCGGCCGCTCTCCGTGTCTTTCCACTCGTAGAGGTGCCCAATCGGCTGTTCGGTGACCTGGCTGTTGTTACATACCGCTTCGTACCCCACGCCGTCGTTGATACACCAACTTCGTCACGAACGGGGTTTGCTGTCGGAGGTCTTTCGGGCGAAGAGGGCGACAGCGGCATGAGCACGCCTGCGGTTGGATGCATTCATCTGCTGAGTCTAGTGCAGATGCGCGCGTCATTATAGCAGTGGCCCCCCAGCTGTCTCGACTGCAGGGGCAATATTGACCGAATTTCCTGTTGGAGAGTATTGTTCGTAACTCGCCCCAGCAAGCAGAAGCTGCAGCAAAAGCAGAAGCCGCAGGCGTTGATCATCTGAAGTCCATGCCTCTCCACAGCAGTGCGGGCTCAATGGGCTGGCTGTCTCTGCTGCGGGCACGAAGGCTCGGAGTTGGCGTCAGTGGGTTGCTCCGCGGCGAAGCTGGTTCAATGAGCTCGGCGGTCGTTGACATGTATCTTGGCGAACCGCACCATTCCAGCCTCTGTCGCAGGCGATGTCAGGGGTTGCATAGTTGCGATTGAACGGCGTTCCATGTCCGTGAAGGATGAGAAATTGCAAGAGTCCTCACATTGTCGCCAAGGTGGCAGCAAGAGACTATGACATGGGTTTGCGCAGGTCCCCCCACGATGCCCACGCGTGTTTTTAGATCATCGTGCATGTTTGGCTCCTCCACCTTTCGGCCTGATGGGATTCCAAGAGAGGTCCGAGGTCCCATATCCCAGCAAGCGCAGCGTCAAACACGTCCCCATGGCGGTGCCATACCGCTTCCAGGACAGCCCCAGGACGGCTTCCAAACTGCAATGTGATTTCAAGATGGCCACGCGTCCCTTGCAACCCGGCGGTATCTTAAGCCGTCTTGGGTTATTTTTGATCGCCTGTTGGATTCGTATCAAACGTCTCTGGGGCCTCATCGTGGGGTCATCTCGAAACGCAAAGTGGGAGATGCAAAGCATGCGCGAAGCAAAAGCAAGTTCGACATTTTTGACATTCGGGGGCTCTCCGCGGAGCAATCTTGAAGTCTCTGGTTGCCTCTGGTGTCATGCGGGCGCTATCTTAGGACCACTGTCAGCTATCACTCAGCCAACTTCGGTCACCCTGGGCCACATGCCCATATGCAACGCTACGCAAGCTGATTCGGTACCGTTGTGCTCGTCCATTATCCACATGTCGCCTTCATACCTTACTGATCCACATTTGCATATGCATATTATGAGCAGATCTACTGTCACGGTGTGTGCTCGCGCGCTTCTGATGCGGCGTTCTGTTACGTAATTTGCTGCTGTCGTGCACTCCGCCTGCTTTCTCCCGTCGCGACGTTAGTTCCAGCCTTCGCAGGGAACAACGGTGACCATTTACGACTGCACGATTGGCACAGAGAATTGGGACGTTCATCAGCAGGTTCGGGGAATGGGGTTGGAAAAGAAGAGGGGCAAAGGGGGATGCGGACGTGCAGGTGGTGTAACAGGATAAGGATGACGTCGTTGAGGACGAGGGGGAGCAGGAAACTGTTGAGGAGGACAACGAGAGGGCTGCTCCTTCCTACGCCTTCGTCGTTCGCAGGAGGATCGACTTTGTTCCCACTCCAGCCGCTGGCCTCCGTATTTCTCACATCCCCATGGTTCCTTGCCTCCCACCATGTGCTTGTTGAGTGTTCCCTCTGTCGATGCCGTCTTCACTTCGTCCGTCTGTGCAGGTTTGCGCGGACGCCCTTGCTGTTGCTGCCGCTGCTTCTCATCGACGGTTGTTCTGCGCTCTTGCTGCCTCCGTACCCTTGAGCTCCCCTGCATGCGGCTTTTCCTAGGAGTCTACGCCATTTAGTGCAAACCGAGTTCTAAACCGTTTTAAAAGGAACGATGACGACAGGGTGGTGCCCTGCCAGGTCCCCAGGAGCTTCACGGGGGTACTCTGAGGTTCTTTTGAAGTTCCTCGCGGGATCTTGGGGAGCTTCTTGTGGGTTTCTCGGGGTCCCTTGCTTTGCTATGTTCTGCATCGCTTTGTGTGTTTGTGTGTCTGTTTGTTTATTTGGGTGTGCGTTTATATTGTTCTGAAAGTGTTTAGTATTCTTTTGTGTAACCTTGTATCACATTGCTGAGATTTCCTTAGCATTGCCCATCATAGCGTAGCATTGATTGGCATTGCGCTGCATTGCGTTGCCTTGCGTTTCGCTGCATCGCATTACTTCGAATGCTTCGACTTGTATTAGGTTGCGTTCGCTTTGCGTTGCATTACGTTTCTCATTGTTTCTCCTCATTGCATTGTTTTATTTTTCTTTGAGTGGCTTTGTATTGCATTCCATTCCGTTGCGCTGTTTTTTTCTTTGGCGTCGCGTTGCTTTTTCACATTTCAGTTCTGGGCACTGCGTCGTATTTTTGCACGTCGTCGTTTTAGTCTAAATTGCGTGTGCGTGTGTGCTTGCTTTTACCATTCATTTTGCTGTCGTTGATGTCGTGCTGGTCTTCTCTTGGCCTACTCGCAGTTATACTGGTTGTGCTGTACAGCATAGCCCTGCATCGTGTTGAGTTGATTGACAGGCTGTGCTTTGCGTTACCTTGCGTCGCCATACGTTGCTTCGGAAGGAAGCTGACCTTGCGATCGGGGCTACGCCGGTTTTAGACAATGGGGTAGGTGGTAGCCGTCAAGCAATTTCGGACCGCATGAGCCTGCCATGTGTGGATCGCAGCATTGGGGCCCTCTTGAGCTTGTCCATATCCAATTGTATATCGAACGCGCCGTGGTACAAGCGATGCGACAACGAAGTTGAGGGGCCTCGGCTTCAAGTGATAACTGATTCAATTTGAGCAACCCACCAGTTTGCTTGTCGCGAGAGCCACGCGATCCTCACTCGAGCATCTGGCCCAATCGGGGTTGTCCTCAGCGAATCGAGCACAGATGCAAGTTTCCGATCAAACGAGCCACACCTCGGGATGAAACACGTCGTGCAGTACAGAAGCCACCGATCACGATGATGACGAGAGGCTTCTAGCAGCGTGTACGCACGCTGCGCGGCGATCGTGTTCCTACCATTGCCGAGGCAGGGACTCGCGTCGCAATAGCTTGGCGGAAGCTCTATCTTTTGCGGAGCAGGAAGGAGTAAGGATGATGAGGAAAGGGAGATGGCGAGGGAGGATGAAGGGACTCGGGCAGAGCAAGCGGCTGGGCCAGAAAGATCTTCTCGTACCCGCGTCCAAGTCGCTGGCATCCTGAACGCTTCGCGTGTCCCCACAAGCCCATCCTGCGACTACGCTATCGCTGCCCTGTCTCGTGTGTTCTACACTGTACTGGCCTCGCCCAGTGTGATCTTGGCTCGTTTCTGTGCGTGCGGCCCGATTTCTTTTTGTCGGGCGTTGTGTCGCTTGCGCAGATCTGGTCTTGTCGGCATTCAGCAGATCTGGTCTTGTCGGCACTGCTCCCAGAACGACACTGGCATTTACGGATCCAACGCTGCGCTGTGCGGCCCTGGCCCCGTGGGAGACCTAGTCGGCCGTTCGCGTGCTGGGGCCCCGTGGCTGATGCCCTACGGCTGATGCCCAGTGGTACCCTGTGGCTGTGCCACCTGGCTTCTGCCCTGTGAGGCTTGTCGCTGGTGTCATGCGCTTCTTGCCCACCTTGCCCGTGGCTGGTTCCCCACGGTGCCATACGGTGGCTGCCCTTTGGCCTGCACCACGTGGCCGGCTCATCGGGAGTGCAGGGAGCTACTGTTGAGGGTCACGCGTTGGCATTATTTGACACGGGGCTTGACTCTATCTAGTTGTCGGCGTTTGGGTGCGCATAACCGCGAATGTAAGTTCTCCTCCTCCTGCCGCTCCTTTCCTGCTCGTCTTCGCACTCTTGATCTCTGCCATCGGAGGTTCATCCCTTGTGTTCGTGCACTTCTCTTCAACATTCTTTACGAGTCGCCTATCCCCACCAGCCCATCCAGAAACGATGCCCAGGGAAGTCATCTGAAGGATAGGCGTATGTACGCACCTAGTGAAGCAAGGAGGCCAACCTTGGTGAAAGACCGCCGGAAGCTTGGAACCATCTTGGGGCCATGTTGGAAGCATTCGGAGATCTTTTGGGGACCTCGTAGGACCCTCTTGGGGCGTTCTTGGACCCCTCTTAGGGGGCCTTTGGGCCATCTAGGAGACCATGTATCAAGGAAGGGGACGGCGCTTCTGCGGTCAGTCCTCCCGTCGGGGCCCGAAAGATTGCCTCCTGGGGCCGTCTTGGTGTGCTCTTGTGGCTCGCTTAGGCGCTCTTGGGACCATCTTGGCGCCTTATTGGACCCTTCTTGGGGCCTCAAGGGCCAATCCTGAGCGAACAGGCGGTACAGCAACACACATAGATGTTCTGCCAATGTTGGCATGGATTTGGCCTCTCGGGGTGGTGGGAGGGGGTCGGGGGGGGGGCGGGGGGCGGATCGGGGGGGGGCGGGGTGGGGTCTACAGGAGGCTCCCTGGCCACATGGAACCGTCTTGGCGAGTTCTTGAGAGCCATCTTGAGCCATATAGTGCCATCTTGGAGGCCATCTTGGTGCTGTCTTGGGCCATCTTGGACGCTCCAATGCGCGCGCGTCTAGACCCAGGGGGATCGGGTAGGGGGAGGGGTCCAGTTCCCAGCGGGAACGCCTCGAGCTGTCTCGCTCACTCCCACCCGCCCTCCCACTGCACGAGTAGTGCCCGAGTCCCAGCAACGCCAGGGGCCACCATAGACAGCCACCAGGAGGCAAGGCAGGCGCCAGCCGGGTGTGCGACCCCCGCGAGGTGCGCCGCACGTGCCAGGTGCGCCACGCGCACCAGTTGCGCCACATTGGGCAATATGTCGACCCCCCACCATACCTGTCAACACCATTTCAACGCGGCGGCGTGGTGGCCAGCATTGAGTATCGTGTGTATGTGTGCACCCGCGAGCATTTTGCACTTTTGTTTTGACAGGGATGTTGGGCTTGCACACCGCCAGCAATACCCCTCCCCCCCGCCGTTCCCAGCAAAGCGCACTTACTATGCTGTTGAAAGGGGTGGTTGGCCTGCACACAGCAGGTACTATGCCGCCCCCCGTCGTATTTGGAAGCGTCCAATGCAAAATGATCGCGGGGCGCCCGCGCATGATCCAGATTTTGGTGCAAGGTGCGCTGCGTATCGCTTTTTTGTTGCAAGGGATGGTGGGGGGTGTTGTCATTGCGCACATCAGGCAATCTGCTCCCCCGCCCCTGTCAACATTCTATGCAAAGTGATCGCGGGGCGTCCGTGCATGATCTTGATTTTTGTTCAGTGCACTTCTTACTATTGTTTTGCAAGGGGTGGTATAATGTGTCGGCAAGCGCGCAGCAGATATCATCCCCCCTCCCGCCGTCCCTGTCAAATCCAATGCAACATGATCGCAGGGCACTCGCGCATGGTCGAGATTTTGATTCAGCGTGCACACTGTATTTTTAGTTGCAAGGGGTCGGGATGATGGGGGATGCCACTGATGCGGGCTTGCCGTTGGTTGGTTGGGGGAGGGGATGCTTTTTTTAGCAGGGAACAGCGGTCGCGTGGCCCGAAGGGCAGCCGTCTCGCACGCTCCCACCAGCCCTCCCATTGCACACGTAGCAGCCGAGCCTCAGCAGGGGCAGGGGCTGCTGCCGACCATCGTCGGAAATCCGTCCAGGCGCCAGCCAGGTGCGCGACGCCCACGAAGTGCGCTGCGCCTGCCATGGCGCCCTCGGCATCCCCGTCCAACACCAGTGCAAAGTGGCCGCGGGGCGCCCGCGCATGATCCAGATTCTGCGCAAGGTGTGTTTCGTCTTGTTAGCTGGCAGGGGCGATGGCCAACGCGCAGCAGACAGTAGGCCGCCCCCTTCGTCCCTGCCAGAACGCAATGCAAACTGATCGCTTGGTGCCCACGCATGGTACAGATGTTCCAGCAACGTGTACTTATTTTTGTTTTTCTTACATGGCTTGTGGGGAAGGTCGTCATGGTTCTGGGTTTGCTCCTAGAGAGGTGGGGGAGGGGGTGTATATTAATGAGGAACAGGGATCAACACTCCCCGAATGGGGAACACGGGGGTTGGAAAACCAAATTCCCCCAAACACTTGTGTCCAAAAGAGCTGGTGGCATTCGTCCATATTCTTCCTTTCCTGCACCTCCTCTTTGTTGTTTCTTCTCCCTGTGTCTCTCCGTTTCCCGTTTCGTGTTGGCTTGTTCGTATGGTCTGATCGGCTTTTGTGGTCTGGCTTGCTTTGGCAACCTTGGTGTCACACGGTATGGGGGTGCGAAGCCAACCTCGGCTGTGCTCAGGGGTGCGATCTTCGAGAGATTTGCTTGAGGACAGAGTCCGAGTCTCCAGCTCTAGCCTACCCCATCCCAGCGCCCTCGACTTCTGTCATCGTTTTCTGCTTCCCTACTCAGCCTCAGTTCCCGCCGCTGTCTCTGTCGCTGTCCCCGTTTTCATCTTTTGTCTTCATCTCACCACCCTACCTTCATCCCAGCCCCCTCTGGCCGCTACCACCCCTTCACCCCACGCACCCTCCCCCTGGTCCTGTTTTCTTTGCTATTCGCAGCCACGCCTGGCCAGAACTGGTGCTGCGAACACTGGAACAAGGGCTGCTCTGGCTCACCGCTTGGGAAGAATGACTCCCAGAGCGAAGGCCAGGAGGCCGAGCCCGAGCCGCGCTCCCCGCTGCATTTTGGTCGACCCACCCTCATCCCTCCTTGTGTTGAACACGGTGGCGGTGACCAGTCTGATACCGCGCAAGGGCCCGCGCGCAAAACAAGCCTTGGTTCTTTGCGGATCACCACCAGCCCATGCCGAAACGATTCCCATCTCGGGACCCTTCGGGAGCCGAACGGCCCACAGGACACCATGTGGAGCGTCTTTCGAGCTGGCCGCTTCAGGGTAGTCACGCTAGGTTCTTATAGAACTTGGGCGCCGTAGCATTCGCTTCGCTCTGGCCTGATCCTTGATCTCGCGGCTTTCTTGTCATACATAGCCCATGTCGTCCAGAACTTTGCCGGGGGTATCTTCGATATGACAGAGGAGGGCGAGGGGAAGAATGGCAATGAGGACGAGGCCACTATTGTGCGCAGTGCCTCCTACATTTGCAGGCATTTTATCGTTCTCCATGCGCCTCTTTGGGTTCGCTCCGCAAGTGCTCGTCGCCATCGTCGTCGTTCTCCGTGCCGTCATCGTGGTGCTCGTTCTCTTCCTCCACCTCCTCCTCCTCGTTCTCCTCCCCTCCTCCATCCTCCCAGCTGCGGACAACCTCTGGTCTTGCACGTCTTGGGCAGTGACAAGATTTGGGACCCGCTCTGGGTTTCCCGCAGCATGTTCCAAAACTCTTGGAGAGAGCGGACCTCCCTGGCCTTGGGATGGCCCTGATGAGGATGATGTGATGAGGATCTTCGGGTTAATGATGATGAGGATGCTGCTGATGATGATGATGCTGATGCTGATAATGAGGCTGATCATGATCATGGCGATGATGGTGATGATGGTGATGATGGTGATGCTGATGATGATGAGGATGGTGATGCTGATGAGGATGGTGGTGACGCTGCTGATGACGATGCCGATGCTGATTATGGTGATGATTCTGATGATGATGATACTGATGATGATGATGCTGGCTGATGCTGATCATGATGATGATGACGAGGCTGATGCCGATGATGCTGATGATGATGCTGATGCTGATACTGATGCTGCTGACGATGCTGATGCTGATAATGATGATGATGATGATGATGATGATGATGATGATGATGATGATGATGATGATGATGATGCTGGTGATGATGATGGTGAGGCTGAGGATCAGGATGAGGCTGAGGATGATGCTGATTCTGCTGATGATGCTGATGATGATGATGCTGATGCTGATACTGATGCTGCTGATGATGCTGATGATGCTGATGATGGTACCGAGGATGATGATGATGATGCTGGTTATGACGATGATGATGGCGATGCTGATTATCAGGATGAGGCTGAGGACGCGGATGATGCTGATGATGCTGCTGGTGATGTTGATGCTGCTACTGGTGATGATGCTGATGTTGATGCGGATGCGGATGATGATGCTTATGACGCCGATGATGCTGATTCTGATGATGCTGATGATGTTGATGATGATGCTACAGCTGATTCTGATGATGCTGATGCTGATGCTGATGACGATGCTTATGATGCTGATGTTGATGATGCTGATGCTGATGCTGATGATGATGCGGATGATGTTGTTGATGATTCTGATGATGTTGTTAAGGATGAGGCTGATGATGCTGATGATGATGCTGATGCTGATGATGCTGATGATGATGATGCTTCAGCTGATGATGATGATGATGATGATGATGATGATGATGATGATGATGATGATATGATACTGATGCTGCTGCTGATGGTCAGGATGGTTATGCTGCATATGCTGATGCTGACGCTCAGGATGCTGATGCTGTTAATGCTGGTGATATTGATGATGATGCTGCTGCTGATGATGTTGATGCTGATGCTGATGCTGATGCTGATGCTGATGCTGATGCTGCTGAGGATGCTGCTGATGATGATTCTGATGATGATGCTTATGCTGATGAGCTGATGATGATGCTGCTGCTAATGCTGGTGATGATGATGCTGATGATGATGATGATGCTGCTGATGATGATGATGCTGGGGATGGTGATGATGCTGCTGATGACGATGCTGATTATATTGTTTATGCTTATGCTGGTGATGCTGATGATACTGATGATGGTGCTGCTGACGAGGATGATGCTGCTGATGATGCTGATGCTGATGCTGCTGATGATGATGATGCTGATGATGATGCTAATGATGATGCTGCTGATGATGATGACCCTGCTGCTGCTGATGATGATGCTGATGCTGCTGCGGTTGATGATACTGTTGCGGATGTTGATGTTGATGTTGTTGATGATGCTGATGCTGATTCTGATGATGATGCTTATGCTGCTGATGCTGCTGCTGATGATACTGATTATGCTGATTATTTTGCTGCTGGTGTTGCTGATGATGATGCTGATGATCATTATGATGATGCTGATGACGAGGATGATGGTGAGGAGGATGATGATGATGAGGAGGAATGTATTTAAATGTGGCACCTGCCGTTTTGACTACTTGATGAGCTCTCATGGAACTCGTTCGGGCCGTCTTTGGGCAGTCTTGCCGCTCCCTTAGGCCCTCTCATGCTGTGTTGGGGCTCTTTTGGGCCGTCTTGAGGCTCTGTTGGCAGGTATGGTGGGTTTCTGGGTGCCGTCGTGGGGTCGCCTTCGCTCTGTCTTGGGCAGTCGAAGGGCCTTCTACGGCCGTCGTCGGTCGCACTGAAGGCCCCCTGGGGCTGTCTTCAGAGGCAGGGCCCTCGCGGGGTCCTCTTGGGCCATCTTTGGACCCTCGTGGGGGCCCCTTGGGCTGCATTGGAGCCATCGTGACGGCTTCTTGGGCCGAGATGAGCTGACGAACAGGCGGGACTGCGGAATCATTCACCAACCAATTGGGAATCAATAGTTTTGGCTTCTTCGGACTCTGTTGGGTGTCACCTTGTCGTCCTATGGGCCCTCTTACAGACATCTTGAGACATTTAAACTGCCTTGGGGTCATCTTGGCTTGTCTTCGAGGTATCTTCGGCCATCTTGATGCCCTTGGTTGCCTGCATGGACCGTTTTGGAAGCTCGGGCGCGGATCCTTCGTTTTCAAGAAGGGGTCGTCGCCTCGGCAGCGCGGATACATTTTTTCACAACCATCCTGTGGTGTTGGGTCCTCGTTGTAGAGAGATGACGCCCCGCGGCTTTCCTCCTTCTCTCCTCTCTTCCTCCCGCCTCCCATGCTTGAAGCTGCCCTCCACATGGCCTTGTTTTGGCACACCCCTCACACGTGCCGTGGCCCCACAAGTAGCTCCACCGAACGCCCCAGTGACAAAGCTTGCATGTGGCCGCCCCGCCAATTCCGGCACAGCCCCCACACGTGCCGTGACCCTGTAGTGAGCACCACCTAAGGCCCCAGTGGCCATGTATGCATGTGGCCGCCCCGCCCACTGCGGCACCCTCCCCATACGTTTCGCGGCCCCAGAAGGGCCTCCACATGAGGCCGGGAAACCATCTTCGTATGTGGTCTCCCAGCCCGTTTCGGCACACGTCTCACGCGTTCCATGGCCCCATTGGGGGGTTCACCTGAGGTCCCAATGACCATGTTCGCATGTGGCTGCCCCGCCAATTTCGGCACATCCCTCACGCGTTCCGTGGCCTCACAGGGAGCTCCACCTGAGGCCTCAATGACCATTTTCGCATATGGCCTCCCAACCCATGTCGGCGCACCCCTCACACGTTTCGTGGCACTAATGGCCATGTTCGCATGTGGCCGCCCAATTCATTTTCGGCACACCCCTCACCCGTTTCGCGGCCCCAGAAGGAGGCTCCATTCATTGCCCCAGTTGCTATGGTCACATGTGACCGCCCCACCCATTTCGGCACACCTCTCACGCGTTTCGTGGCCCCATACGGAGCACCACCCAAGGCCCCAGTGGCCATGTTCGCATGCGACCACCCCATTCATTTTCGGTACACTTCCCACATGCTTCGCAGCCCCCTAGGGAGCCCCACCGAAGGCCCCAGTGGCAGGGTTCGCATGTGGTCGCCGTGCTCATTTCGGCACATGTATCACACGTTTCATGGCTCCACAGGGAGCTTCACCATTTTCGCATGTGACACGTTTCGTGGCCCCTTGGGGAGCTCCATCTAAGGCCTCACTGACCATTTTCGCATGTGGCCTCCCCATCTATGTCAGCACATCTCTCACACGTTTCTTGGCCCCATGGGGAGCTCCACATGAGGCACCAATGGCCATATTCGCATGTGGCCGCCCCATTTATTTTCGGCACATCCCTCACCCGTTTCGCGACCCCATAAGGGGGCTCCGCCTATTGCCCCAGTGGCTCAGGTTCGCATGTGGCTGCCCCACTCATTTTCGGCACACCTCACACGTTTCGTGGCCCCATAGGGAGCTCCACCGAAAGCCCCAGTGGCAAAGTTCGTATGTGGCCGCCCTGCCCATTTCGGCACACCCCTCATACGCGTCGTGGCCTCATAGGGAGCTCCACCGAAGGTTCCAGTGGCAAAGTTCGCATGAGGTTCCCCGCCGATTTCGGCTCATCCCTCACACGTTTTGTGGCCCCAAAGGGGACGTAACAGTGTGCGTCAGTGGCAAAGTTCGCATGCGGTTCCCCGCCCATTTTCGGCACACCTCTCACACATTTCGTGGCCTCATGTGGAGATCCAACGAAGGCGATAAGGCGATATCCACAACGATGGTATTCGCAACTGCATATGGTTGGGTCTCTCGCCATGATCATTTTTACAAGTGATCGTGGCCTCGGGATGGAGGCGTGCACGTCGATGGTGATAGGCACCATGATCAGGCTCTCATTTGCTGCTGCGTGGTTGGCACTGCCGCGTTTGCAAAGGGAGCAACAAAAAGGAGGGGGAGGTTGCACGGTCCATTCTGCCACCAGAGAGGGGGACGTTCTGGGAGGGTACAGAAAAAAGGCAAACTAAGGACAAACAGTATCTCTCTCTATATGTATATATACATGGAAGACCAGATACTAAGCAGAAACACGGATACTACAACTAATTGACGGACATGACAAAGAAATAAGGGAAAGTGGCGGGACAGCTGTCAGGAGGCTTCGGAAGCCAAAGCATAATAGCATATACTAACGACATAAATCAGCCACGCGCAGAAGGGGGGTGTGGGAGGGGAAGGGCTTCATAGAAGCACCCTGCTTCTTAGAAGGCGCGGTCCTTACTCGTAGATGTAGGGCCGGCGCCTTCTAAGAAGCAGCCTCTTTCTAAGAAGCCTTCCCCATCCCTCCACCCCCTCGAGCGCGCCGCCCAATGAGGGGGCCAACAACGTCAACAAGTAAAGGGTGGAGAGGTGGGTGCCATATTTTCAGCAAAATATGGATACTCACACAAAGTAAAGAGAGGATACTGAAACAGGTAGGGGACACTAAAACACAATCTGGACGTTCGACGCAGCACCGACGCACGATTAGAGAGCTCCAGGAAGGCCCCTATCCCCCAGGCAGTCCTTCCAGAGCGGGGCTCCAGCTGGTAGCGATGGGGGTTCATGTCCACAAGGGTCGGCCAGAGCGCCAGATCTTGCAGGATCTTGCAGAACCAGGGTTGTACTGACCTGGATTTGCCCATGCAAAGCCTGATTGACCCAGGTTTCGGCGGCGAGCAATGGGGGGAGTGAGAAGGAGAAGGCCTTCTCAGAAGGCGGCGGGTTTTCTCAGAAGCCCTCGCGCCCTCTGAGAGGTTTTTTTGTGTCTCCCGGAAAGGCTCAGAGAAAACTTGTCAGAATGCTAGGGGGCTTCCGAGCCTTCTGAGAAGGCCCGCCCCTTCTCACTTCCCCCCGGGCGCGCCGCCTGCGGGTTTGCATTGACCAGGGCCCGTACAGTCGGGCCGCTGAAGAAGCAGCCCTTTCCGTCGGGGAGGTGCTCGATGCTCCTTCACGATTTCTGCAATCTGTCTCAGGAGTTCATCAGGTTTCCCCTGGCACATCGAGGCGTGACTCGTGGAACATGGGGGGCCTCGTCCCTTGCCTGGGGTTCCTTATGGCAGCGCGGCGACCGCAGATACCCGAGTGGCCTCCCCGCAGTGCCCGAGCCGCGACCGCTGCAGAGCGCCGCTGCAGGCCAGGGCGCTCGCGCGCACGCGCGCCGCGGAGGCTGGCTCGGAGAAGCGCCTCTACGACTGCGGCCCCGCGCGCCGCGCTGGGAGGGCGCTCTCGCACCGCCTCGAGGGGCCAGGACGGGCCCGGATCTCCGAGGATCTGCTACTGCAGCTCGCGTAATGCAGGGGACCTCCTCCTCCTCCTCCTCCTCCTCCTCCTCCTCCTCTTCCTCTTCCTCCTCCCCCCTCCTCCTCCCTCCTCCTCCTCGTCCCTCCTCCTCCACTCCCCCCCTCCTCCTCCCCTCCTCCCTCCTCACCTCCTCCTCGCTCCTCCCCTCTCCTGCGTCCTCCTCCTCCTCCTCTCCTCGTCCTCCTCCACTTCCACCTCCTCCTCCTCCTCCTCCTCCACCACCTCCTCCTCCTCCTCCTCCTGCTCCTCCTCCTCCTCCTCCTCCTCCTCCTCCCACCGGGGCGCTCGGGCACGGTGAGGTCCCAGACGAGCAGTTTTAGACCCCCCCCTGGACCAGCCATGAAAGGATGGCCTTGTGCCCAGACCCCACCGGAATCCTGCAGGACAGCTCAGATCAGACCCCCGCCAGATCAGACCACTACCCTTTCTTTCTGAAATGTGGAGGACTGTCAATCCCAGAGCCCTCTTGGGCCCTCTTGGGCCGTCTTGGAGGCCTCTTGGGCCGTCTTGGGGCCCTCTTGGGCCGTTTTTGGGGCCCTCTTGGAGGCCTCTTCGGATGTGCGTCGGGAATCCGAAAAGGCGAGACAGCCCAACCCATTCGAAAACCATCAGAAAATCACAGATTCTTGCCTCTTGGGGCCCTCAGGGAAGTGCTCTTGGAGGCCTCTGTCTTCGAGGCCTCTTGGGCCGTCTGGCGGCCATCTTGGGCGTCTTGGAGCGATCTTTCGGCGATTCTGTGTTCTCCTGGACCGTCTGAACGGCCCCCCAGGGCTTTCTTGGCCCGTTTTGGGCCGTCCTGAGCGAGTGGACCTTCCCGAAGGCCCACGCGACACATCCTAATGGCGCCCGAGACCGCCCGGGAAACTGGGGGTCTGGGCCCTTGAGAGGCTCACAGTCACTTTACCTTGGGGCAGCATGAGCCTTGGGGCACTCCACTTCGTGGCCGAGACACAGTGGCGGATTTAGCTGACGTCGTCGGGTCAGGGGAGAGGAACGTAAAGGAACGTAGCGGTGCCAGTGCTTTGTGGCCTGGTAGTGCGTGGGCGTGGTGGGCTTCCTGCCGACGGGGTCGACCTCGCCCTGTCGGTGCACCGAGCTCAGGACTGGCGGCGTCTTCGAAGCGCGGCTTGGGGTTGACGGTCGGGGATTCGCCCCCCCAGCGCTCATTTCCAAGCTTGGGGTTCCTTCCTTTCGATCGCTTTCGCCTTCATGGCCTCCCTGGGGCCCTCGTAGCCCCCGCTGGCTCGGAATTCTGGTTGGAACGCACCCCCAGAGAGGTCCGTGGAGCAGCGGCGCCGGTATTTTTGTTGCATTCTCCCAGAGGGGGCACTCGCGCGGAGTTGACGCGCCTTCCGACCCGCCGAGGCCTCCAGGAGCACATGGTCAGGAAGAGCAGGAGGAACTGGGAGGAGGAGGAGGAGGAGGAGGAGGAGGAGGAGGAGGAGGAGGCGGAAAGGAGGACGAGGAGCGTAAAGAGGAGGAAGAGGAGGAGGAGGGAACGTAGTATAAAGATGAGGATGAGGGGGAGGAGGGGGAGGAAGAGGGGGAGGATGTGGAGGAGGTAGAGTGGAGTAGGAATAATGTAAGTGTTCAGTTATTCAGGCAACGAGGGAGTCACGGCTTGCCGCTCACTCTAGCTTAGCTTGGTATCAACATTATTTTGCCCTGCCAGCCTTTGCTCACGTTAGCGCTGCTCACCTCATAGCCCCCAGCATAGCATAGCCTAGCCTGGCCGCCGAGCTTTCTGACACGGTCTCGATCCGACCGGCGACGAGTTCTTTCAAATTCTAAGCAGCATAGGCGATGGTGAGCGGATGTGAGCTCGTCGGAGCTAATGCCCCAATGCCATGACATGTCCAGCCCTCCTGGTGTGTGTGTGTGTGTGTGTGTGTGTGTGTGTGTGCTACATTGTTCGAACAACTTCTTTCCCCAGTCCTCGGGACGGTGCGCATGCTCTGGTTTCCCTCACCAGCATTTCGTTCCATTCTGCTATCGTTCCTTCTCTGGCGAAGGCAACAAGGACCTTGAGCAGTTCAG